ATTTTTATATTTTGAGGAAAGAGCCCTTCACCTTCGGTGTCAGGCTCTTTCCAAAACATGAAAATGAACGCATTTTTAGGCAAAATTATCGATAATTTTTAAGCACCTGGGTAATTACCCCCGATAAGTAAATTCATGTTTTCATGTATATACTATTACAAAACTTAATTTTGTTTTACTGTGTATACCAAATGTACTATTGTACAGGTTGATATATTATATTTGTTAATACAACAAAAATATTTTGTAAAATTTGCAAAATTAATTAGTTAAATTAACAAATTCATTTAACAAATTTATTATATTACATACATTTTGCTAAAACAACAATTTAAATTGATAATTTAACTTTTTATCAAAGTATTTTGTAAATTTAAAAAATGTAATTGAATTTTATATTAACAAACGTAATTTAACAACTTTGAAATTCAAAATACTATAGTATACTATAACAACAAAAAAGTGGAACTCTTGGAATAAACTTTTTTTTACTCTGTAGGTATGTTAAAACCTTACCATCTTGACACAGCTTTTGCAAAATATTTGTGTGTCATCGCACTGATTTGGCTAAAATATTTTTGTCCAGCTCCTGCAACCACCCTGAAACCTTTATCCCTGCTTTGGCCTTGGGCATTTCGTAGGATTAATAAAATAAATTGTTGGCAATAATAATAGTTTTTGTAAATGAAATACCTGTTATTAAACTTATCAGAAACAAGCACGCTGACGCTGAACAAAAAATATAAACAAATACAAACAAAAGCATAATACGTTGATTCCAACGGTTGCCAAAGTTGGCTATATTTTTAAGTTTAGGATTAATTTCAATGCCCCCTCAAATGCCTAAAATAGAAACAAAAAGGCACTTTGCCTAAAATCCGGTTCTTGGTTATAAGAAAATAAGTATATATTAATATTAATAATTATTATATATTATTATATATTAAAGACATTTAACAAGATTTAATAACAAAATTCTATGTCAATAACTCTTGTAATTTTTAAACTTGTTTGTAAACCAGTATGTGTTGGAAATTGAAAAAAGAATTTTGATAAGAAGAAATGTTGCTTTATTATTAAAAATGTTGCTTTATTAATAAAAAAAATTAACACTAAAGTACCTATATACTTGATCACAAAAATAATATACACAAAATTAATAACACACCATAATCAAAATTATCGGATATAAAAATTAGGTACCTACAATATAACAATCAGTACTATACAACACTGATGTATTTCGCAAGTTTAACCCACTTCACTGTATCCCCTAATTTCAATTTGAAAACCAGTGATGGCATATTTTATCGGATAATTCGTTAATATAAGGAATCCTAATAACAATAATAACATATTTCTGGTAATATAATATAAACATTTCAGTACAAACACGTTACGAATCATAAAAAAATAAGCAGAATAATAAGATGCATACGCTGAAGTCTAAAAAAATCAGTGGGAAATGTTTTGATTGGCTGCCTGAAATCACCTGTACTTTTTCAATGAAATAATTTGTTAAACATCTGTAACCTATAAAAATTAACAAATCGCTTACAAAATTACATAGTACTTTTACAAAACTTTCGGTAAAATGTTTACCAAATTAATTAATTCCAGAATTGTCAACAATACATTTAAGCATACAAACTGATCATAATTTAAAATGATTCATTTTTAAATAAATAAGTATATAACACTGAACATTTTAAACAACAAAATATACTTACGAATTCATGGCAACATAATATTATATATAATACATAATATAATGCTATTTTTCCGTTGAGTGGAGACTTTAAAGAATTCTTAATAATGCCAAATGCTGTTTAAATTTAGACGACTTATTTGTTTGACGATTTTTACTGAATAGAAATGTTTACACTTTTCACGTTAATCATTACTAAAATGTGTATTCATTGTATCTATTAGATACAATTTATATTTACAGGGACTGTTTGAAATTTATTTCTTCATTCGGATTAACACTGTCTATAATAATTGGAATAATTTATAATAATTGGAAAACCGATAAAAACTCAACCCAGGATTTCCTCTCGAAATACACCCAACAACACAACAAATCGTGACACGGTTTTTTTCCGATAGTTTTTACCATTTTTCGGCTTTATTCCCGTTTGTAACAGCTGATTATCAAAAGTTGTACTTTTGTTACGATGATAACAGCCGAGTGGTGGCGCTAATAGCGATACTTCTTTAGCGTATTGAACAAAATTTGTCGAGTAAGACTTATGCTCCTCTCTTTTGTGAAAAAACTACCTATTTATTTAAAAATTTTAAATTTAAATTTTAAATTTAAAAATTCGTATGCTTTAAATGTATTGTTGACAATTCTTAAATTCACACAATGCCACTTTTTCAATAAGAATACGAAAAACACTTGTGTCTTCTGTTTTATCTAATTAATATGTTTGTAATATTTTGCTTTATTAAAAATGTTTGGTATAAGTTTTACAATTTTAATTTTTAACAATTTACATCATTTATGAGATTAAACAAATATTTTAACTTTAAATCTGGTAAGTTAATTAGCAAGCTTCTAAGAGAAAGACCCGCATCCTTTGTTTCAAGACTTGTCTTGTTGATTTACTGTCAGCTTTACATAATTGCCATTGCTGTGTTTGTAGCTAAAACGCTTAGGTAACTAGGAAAACTATAGATAAACTTATCCTTACTAATTATGCAGTATACAACACAAAGCTCCTGTATAACAATTGTGCTTTGTAATTTAAAGCTTACCGATGATTGAACTTTAGCCTTTAAACTATTATTTACTCTTTTCAAAGGTCCTTCCAGGGATTACCAACCAAAAATGTGGGACAAAATTTAATAAAAATGTTTTATTTGATTCAAATAAAAGTTAATGATAATGTTTTATTTAACTCCCATGAATTCTTAGGTATATTTTGTTGTTTAAAATGCAGTTGTCGGCGTTTTTTACAGAACTCAAATATAAAAATGATTGATTTTAAGGTTATGTTTGTTCAAAAATTATTTTTTACTAATTTCTTAAAAATGTCCAAACAAATATAAATTATATTAGGTAAAGTTATCATTACTTAATTCTGCACCAACAAATGTACTTACCGAATTGGATCCTTTGGCAAAACATGAAAATGCAACGATTTATTTCTTGAATTTTATTTACAATTAAAAACACAATAATTCACCATAATCCCTTTGATAAAATACACACACTAACGTAACTATATAAGCATTTAAACGTTGAGTTTCTTAATCAATGATATAAGGAATAATCAATCGAAATCGAGTACTAAAAAGGTTTTTTAATTTTTTCCTTGCAACGTAAAACTAAAATAACGCACGCCATTTAGCTGTACAATTGAACAAAATTTGTAGAGTAAGACTTCTGCCTTCCTCTCTGTTGTAAAAAAAACCACCTATTTATTTAAAAATGATGTATAATCGGTGCTTTAAATTTATTGTTTACAATTCTTAAATTCACAAGTCCACCAGATGGCGCGCGCGTTGCGAAAACCCGATACTCCTTTAGCGTATAACAAAAATTAAATTTTTTTATGTAGCAAGAAAACCAAATAGAAGAAATCCCGGCGCATTCGCCATTTTTAGCATTATGACGAGTTTTATTAGTGTCCGGATTTTAAGTTTTTAACTGTTGTTAAAATCGTCTGAGCAAGTTTTATTTTACCTAAAATAATGTTTTTTTGCTGATTTTTTTTTTATTGAGTATAATTGAGGATATTATATTAAATAAAATAAAAAGCATAAAACTGTTGGCACAGAGGTGAATTATATTATTTTACAAATTATAATATACCAGTATACAGTGTGTTCCGGATCGGTTTACCAATAGGAAAAACTTTTTTAGACCAACACTAACATTTTTGTGCGGTTTTTATTATTATTGTAAAAAACTTTACATCAATAATAATTATTATTATTACCAATAAAAAAATTTTTTAATTGAATATTATATTGCCCAAAAAAACTAGCCATTTACATGTAAAAAATGCAAATTTAATAAATCAACCAATTTTTTTAATTTAATTACCTTCAATTTAGGTACCAAAAATAATAACCTAATTTTATAATTATGTCCTAATTTAGTTATCTCTTTAGACTTTTGTATAACCTGAAAGTCCGGGCCTTATTTATAATTAAAATAATGGTTTTAGAAAGTATAAAACTGTATCACTGTATTATTTATCTATATTTCACCTGCACTTCTATAAATACATGTTTCATGACACTAAGTGACCTTTTACATACACATTGAAAAGTTGTGGCTTTATGGCGTTTTAGTCACGTTAGTATTAATTTAGTTGACAGTTGTCAAATGTCATACAATCGTTAAAATAAAATGCCTTTCTTGTAAAATAATACTAAATGTGAAAATTATTTTATTAAGTACAAAAATGCAAAAGTATTAATACTTTAATTAAATAGTTTCTCAAGGCCAATATTTGAAAAGTTTATATGAACATTGTACTGACCTTTTAATATCGCTGGCATTAAACTAAAACTCTAATTCGGGCTCGGACTCCACTGTAAAGTGCTCATAAAACATTTTCTTTACTTTTACTGTGTTGTTAATCCATTTTTAAGAAATACATTTTAAATTATAACCTTTATAATCTGTGTTTATAACACATTTGACGGTGACACAGATTCCCCTATTGTTTTATAGATGGCGCTCTATACAAATATTTGATTTAAACCATTTTAAGATAATTAAATTGTCGTAGAAAAAGTATAGTATGCACCTCGTTTATAAACTTTTCTATACACTCATTAATTTAAGCACTCGCTCGAAAGCTCGCTCGTGCCTAAATTAAATTAGTGTATAAAATGGCGTTTATCAAATTTGATACATAATATACTATTAATAAAGCTCACTTTAATATATGAATTTATCATTTTACGATTAATAAATTATTATTTTTTTAAACTATACTTTTGACTTTAAGATCCACATTAATTTATATTATTTATTTTAGCCATTTTTGTAAAAGATGACGACAATGATGATAAATTGTTAAATCCATTTTCAATTGCATTGTACATGCTATTTCCTGTAAGTGCATTAATTTTCGTTCTCGCCAAAAAGGAACACCAATCCAAGTTACTGGTTCTACTCGACCGGAATTGCATATCGGGTAAGAAATACTTTTTAATAAAAATTCAACCTACAACTTTTGTAGTTAAATACACAAATAAATAAATTTTTATTAAATAGTTTTTGTTATAAAAGAAATTTTATCGTCTAAAAAGATCAAAAGATCAGTTTAAATCAGTATTTAAACAAAACTAAAACTCAACACAAGCTTTACGTTTTTTTGATGTAGAACTGAAAATCTGTAGTTCAAAAATGTGTTGGTTATAGTTTAGGGAAATGTATATGGGTGCTACGAAAATATTTACACAAGTTAAATCGAGGGGTAAACCACTCTAAAATCAGCGAGACAACGTTCAGCGTTATATGGACGTTGTGCTCTGATTTTTCCTTATTCGACGCTTATCGATAAGAATTTCATCTTTATTGATAAGAAATTTATTTTAGCAAGGCGTTGCGTATGGCTACCCTTGTAATGTTTTTTCCTTAGCATTTAATTCGCATGCGATTTTGAATTAAAAAACATCTGTGGTGTACCCTCGAGTTTAATAGAATGTTGTTCTACAGACTATCCAGAAATAACGTTAATATATTTTGGAGGGTGTTTCTACACGTAAAAATAAAAGAAAAAGTTGCTGTAAACAGATGCCTGAAAATGCCTCCTGGAATTTTTTATTAATTAATTCAGAAACACTATGGTGTTAAAATAATAATAATTTATTTCTGGCGTAATTTTTGGACTAGAAATCATCTTATGGTGTCAAATCGGATAAATGATGACCATAGGCGCCTTCAGGGAGGCTTATGAAAACGTTTTGTAGAGAATATGTTTCACCGTTCAGTCGATTTGGTAAGACGTGAGGACCTATCAAATCGTCATTTATTCCTGCCCAAACGTTGATAGAAAATATTTGCTGGTGTCTTGATTCAATAAAGGCATGCAGATTTTCATCAGCCCATGCATGACTATTATAAATATTAATAATTCCATCACTATTGAATCCGGCTTCGTAGGTAAAAATATTTTTTTCAATAAAGTTGGGGTCTTCATGATATTTTGTTCCTAACCAGCAACAGCATTCCAGTCTACGCGGAAGTTGAGGATTTAAAGCTTGTACTCTTTGTGAATGATAGGGATAAAGCAATTGTTTGTGCACTCTTTTCCAAACTGTACTTTTTGGAATGTCCTCTTGCATAGGAATTCTTCTAGTGCTTGTCACTGGAATAGCAGCAACTACTTCCAGGACCGTTTCTTCGTTTTCCACTGCTCAAGTTGTTCGATTTCGTCCGCACCTTTGTTTACTTTAAAAGTGCCAGTTTCACACAATCTTTCATGTAAAGTGGTAAACGTCCGTTGACATAATATTATGGGTATACCCAGGAATGCTTCTTGGTACAATCTTCGAGATTCGCGACTATTACCATTGGCCTTACCGTACATGAAATGTATGTTGACCATTTCTTGGAAAGTGTAATTTACCATTTTTGTTAGAAATTACAATTTGTTCTGATTTATGTTATGAAAAACGATTTGACAAATGTAACCACTGACAAAATTACGATACTTGTAAAGCAGGCTAACTTGATGTTTTTCTATTGCCTACTAATCCGCTTGATATTGGCTCCACAATGGATTGTGATTGGCTCCATGACTTTTTAACAAGAGCACCTTTTTACGAAAAGTTATCTGGAAAGTTTTATTCCAAGATCGAGAATTCAAAAAAACCCACAAAAAATTATGAGGCATTTTTTCGCCGAGTATTTCCTGTTTCGCACAGCTAGGCTCATAATTTATTCAATTTGACACCACCAGATGATATCTTTCTTAAAAAATACCCCATAAATAAAGCATTATTATTTTCACACTAAGCGATTCTGAAATAATTAACAAAAACATAATTTTGCGAAACAGTGTAAAATGCCTATAGCGTAGGGTGTACCAACTTGGTTTTTTTTCGCAGCTCCCCCAAAACTTTTAGTTTATGACCTAAAAAAAATTATCAGACTCATATAAGCCCTTAATATTCATATTAAACCTTGCCACAAAGACGATACATTTCCCATTTAAATAACATATGGGGTTTCGGCTAGTTTTACATTTAACTTTTTTCTCCCGAGCAAATTAATATACAGCAATAAGAGACACATAGACAATTGAACGCTATACAAAAAAGCTTTGTTATGATTTTTTGATAAATTCACTGGTTTAAAAGTTATTTAAGGATAAAGTTAAACTTATAGTATTTTTTTTACATTTACTTTACTTACTTACTTACTTTATTTTAGTAAAAATTATTGAAAAGAGAAAAGTGAAAATTATTGACAAGAAATTCCGATAGGGTTTCAAATTTTCGGGATCGGGATCCCGTTTTGGATCCCGGGATAAAAAAACAAATCCCAGAATCTCGGGATCCCGGGATTAACCCTAATAATGTAATGCAGACATAAACAAAAAACGTTTTATTAAAAAACAAAAATAAAAACAACTCTTATACGTTCAACTATCGATATTTTCGATATGATAGTTTTGTGCTATCGATACTATCGATATTACTATCGACAGCACGGCAAGTTAAAATTAGCAAAAAAATTTTTAAAACGCAAAACATTATTTTAAACAATTTTCCTAGTCAGCTGTCAAGTAGACACCGGGATTTCGGAATCCCGGGATTCCGATAAATTAAAATTTCTTTATTACATTCAACGAATCTTGTACTCAATTTTACACAATAACCAACTTGTTTTGAAATAATCATAAAAACTGTAATTTTTGCTCTAAAAAATTTTTTTAGAATAATATTCGTCCTAACAAAGTATTTGATATACACTAAAATCTACTAAAAATGAAATCTGGCATATAATATAATTATAATAAAAACTATAATTTTTGCTTAATTATATTTATTGGAATAAAGCATTTAACATAGGTACACTATGTGGAAAAAATTTAATCTGGCATATAGTACCCATTAACATAAACACATTGTCAAAGCCGTTCTCGGAAATTGGTATAGCTTTTTGGTGATTTTTTGACGGATCGAACACTTTTCTTATTTTTACGTACGAGGCTCATTTTTGGTACACACTTCGTTTAATTACCTTAAGGTATCCCCATAGAAAAAAATCACATGATGACAAATCAGGAGACCAAGGGGGTCATAAAACGTCACCTAATCGCGAAATAAGGGGACATCCATTAATTACGTGAGATAAAAATAGGGGGGTGTGGTCTAGCAAAATCTCACCGAATCTCATCTTAAGGGAGGGGGGGATCATTAAAAATCTCACGTCAACTTTTGGGTTTAAAGAATATGTAAAGTAATCAATTTTTATTTTTTGAGTTTATCATGTTGTCCGCAAAGAAAGTTTAATGGCTAGAATCTCACGTGAGGGATAGGGGGGGTCTACTACATCTCACCAAATCTCATCAAGGGGGAGGGAGGGGTCAAAATTATCAGAAAAATGCCTCACGTAATTAATGGATGTGGAAAACCAGCCACGGACACCGTGCTGGAACCAAACCGATCAGGGGCATTTATTTTAATATCAACAGGGCTCTTACACTGATAAATGTCATTGATTTTTTTATGGAGCCCTTGGATGGAACCCATTTGGGAATCTCTAATCTATCGTATTATAACGAACCTTTTAATACATTTTGGATAATTTTTTGCTTCAGACATAAAGTTTGCAGCAACGGATCGCAAAAGCTCTTTATGGAAAAAATGAACCCTTAATACTAATGTAAATGGTTGATCCATAAATAAAGTTACAGTATGACGACCCTATTGAGATGTTAAGGCCTGCAGCTTTTTCATACTAACACAACAATTGCATGATATGAACTTATTACATTAATTTTAGTTATTGGTGTGGATTTGTTAATCTCGATGATTGCGTATTTTAAATTATGACAAAGGGTTCAAAGATCCACTCACGTTTAAAGCTATGTAAATAAACTAAATGACTAAATTCGTGTTTATACCAGGTGAAGACTGATATTTTTCCTAAAATTGGCAACATTGGAGTCGATGATGGTGTCTCAGTTTGTAGGTATAAGTGTTGCTAGCATTCAGTAAAAATTAATCGTCAACAAATTAACAGGTGCGATTTTGCGTCTATTGTCCCAAGAGCTGATTTTGTATGTGTGTTATAAATGGACCGAGAGAGTTTTGAGCAACGAAAATGTTTATAGACCATTGATTACTTTTGTCAAAAAATAGTCTTATTTCAGTTTCAGTCCAGCCCTCGCAACAAATAACGCATTTGTTTTGTTTATCACCTAAAGCATCGGAACAATTTTAGTGAACACTTTTCTCATATTTAAATTATCCTTCGAAATTGTTGGAACAATGATCTTTAAAAATGAATTAGTCAAAAATGACTAGTTTATACAGTTATTAGTGGCAGATTTTTCACTTACTCGTGATATCCCCAACATTTAACAGTCAAAAAGGTCCTCCTACTTTTAGTAGCTCTTTGCTGCAGATCAACACACGAATGATTGCTAATAAACTAGGAATGAGTAAGGGCACTCTCTAAAAATGAATTAGTCAAAAATGACTAATTGCCATTGCTATAGCGAAAAAGCAGCCACTAATATTTCTCGTCAATAGCAATTTGTATGTAAAATTGTCCCCTGAATCCGAAAATACTGTCAAAAATTATGAAAACAAATCAGTTTTTGAGATTTAGTCAATTCCATAATAAATGGAAAATTGACTATATCTCAAAAAGTGTTCACTTTTATAACTTTTGACGATATTTTCGGATTCAGGGAACAATTTTACATGAAAATTGACTAACTTGTTCGGTATACAAATTCCTATTGCCGAGAATTATTAGTGGCTGCTTTTTCGCTATGACAATTAGTCATTTTTGACCAATTCATTTTTAGAGAGTGCCCTTATTCACTCCCAGTTTATTAGCAATCATTCGTGTGCTGATCTGTCGATAGCAAAGAGGTATTAAAAGTAGTAGTTTTTTACATTTTTTATCAAAGGCAAATCTCTCTAATCGTCTTTGATGTACTCTCTTCCTTCTGAAAACCGGTTTATCCACTGGAAAACTTTGCACAATCCCCAAAATTGAAATTATTTCTGGAATATTTTTTCGCATAATATTTAATGTTTGTTTGTTGCTGGATTAAACTCGCTCAATTTATGACGGCAGACAAATCCGTGCTTAAAATTGTATAAACTCGAATAACTGTTTTGCAATATTAAGTAATAAAGGGTAAAAGATAATTTTAATTGTTAAAAACAATGAAAATTACCTTCTTTCTCCTTAATTTCATAATATTTAAGATACGGGCTTTAAAATTAGCAGCAAGCAAAAAAAACATATTGTTCCATGTTTATAAATTTAGTAGAAAAAGCATTTAAAAAACCAAGAGTGATAACCAAAAATAATCAAGACCAACGCTTACTGTGAAAAAAAGTTCGATAGAGTTTTTCATTAATGTTTATATGTAGTGGTTTGTTTACAAACTAATCTAGTGAGATGTGAATAGGCGTGGTGCAAGCGTTGATAGTCAAATTAATAATTTCGTCGCTGGAAATTGCATTCCTTCCTCTATTAAAATTTAAAATATACTATCCCGACCATTTCCATTAAGATTTATGGAAATAAATTTTATTAATATAAAACCATTTTATGTTCCTCATGTGGATCTTAAACAGGCAGAGAAATACTACCATTTTGTAAAATAAAATTCGTAAAATAAATGTAAAATAATCGTATTTGAAACATTATAAAAAAAATCGAATCAATTAAGTACCTAATAATGTTTTAAAAAGAATATAATTAATGAATATCTAAGTATTTAAAATCATAAAATATAAATTGAACAAAGAAAGCCAATCTTAAAAAACTGTATTTCATTTTAAGTAAGTTGAGTACCTATATCAAACTAGCATGAGTAAGTTATTAAAATTAATACTGAAATACTAAAGTTGCATACTTTTTGATAAATTTGTTAAAAGGAATGAACTTTAAGGAAATTACATTGTTTTATTGTTTTCAGTGATATGTCCATCCTTTAGTAAACGAAGAAAAATCCTGAAATGGGCAAGCGGAAGACTGCCATTGAATTGGTCGTCTCACTTAAAAACTCTATCGGGTGGAATAGTGGAATTTTGGAACGATGGTTCCTTGCTATGTACCCTAATTAATACTGCAGTTCCTGGGGCATGTCCTAATCCGCACAGGCACTGGAAAAAATCACCAGTACATGCACAAGCGGTTGCATACAAATACCTAGGAGTTTTACCGGTAAGAAATTGAATATCATTTTAAAAGTGTACTATTTAGTTTAGTTTAATTCTTTAAAAATCTGTTTTGTTTTATATTTTTAAAAATACATATTTTACAAACAAACGTTTCAGAAAAAAACCTTAGGTACATGCAATTTGCTTGATGCAAACATAATGGGTCTAGGAAAATTTATCGTCAACAATTTACCGACAGCAATTTACCGCCAGCAATTTACCGCCAGCAACTTATAGCCGCACCAATTTATCGCCGCAACAGTTTACCGCCAGCTATTTATCGTAGAAACAATTTATCGACAGAAATTCACCGTTAGCAATTTGCCGCCAGGTATTTACCACCTCAACAGTTTAACGCAGCAACAGTTTACCGCCAGCTAACCGGATTTGTTTTGTGCATTTTAACGTTTTTAAAATGAATCATAGGCAAAATTTTAACGCTTCCTTGTTAGAAAACTCAACAACACAACCCTACCGGCCCCGAACCATTGGTCAAATGGTCAAAAATGAGAGAAAAAAACCCAAACCAACCCAAACTCAACAACACAAACCAACCGACCCCGCCCCATTGGGCCCTCCCCGCCCCATAAATAGCTGGCGGTAAACTGTTGCTGCGTTAAACTGTTGAGGCAGTAAATACCTGGCGGCAAATTGCTAACGGTGAATTTCTGTCGATAAATTGTTTCTACGATAAATAGCTGGCGGTAAATTGTTGCGGCGATAAACAGTTGAGGCGGTAAACTGTTGGCGGTAAATACCTGGCGGTAAATTGCTAACGGTAATTTGCTGGCGATAAATTTTTCGGATACGAAACATTATATGTATATTTTGAAAATCAAAACTATACTGGTTATTTCAAACTAATTTAGCCAGACTAGTTCCTAAACAGTTTTAGTGAAACAAAACCAATATTGTTTGGCTATAAAAGTGCTTTAAAATAAAAGTGAAAAAATGTTTTTAAAAAGCTTCTAAAAATTAAGCCCTTTTTTGAAGTATCCTATATATTTTATTAAATATTTCTCTATGATTTACAATTACCAGTAATAATATCACAAGAGAGTGACAATAAAGTGAAAATAATTCGACAAATTTTCAAAAACCTGTTGTCTGGCAATATGTTTGAGAAATGATTTGGAAAATTATTTTCTCTTGATTGACATTCTCGTGTGGTATTTGTCAGATTATTTTGTGACGCAATAAAACGCTTATTAAAATAATATTTTTATTTTAGTACAGAAAAGTACAGAAATTAATGCGAATTAAAATTTTGAACATGAAAAACACAATTGAATACGTCAATGCAGAAACTGAATATGTCCTACCTATCTAGTTTTGAGATAAATAAGAAAAACTGAACAGAAAGTGGACATATGTTCTGGACATATTCAGTTTCTCTACTATATTAACGCCTTTGTATATTCTAGATTACCGTGACATGTGAAATTTCTACGCCATTCGATCGGGCTCCCTTTACTTATAGTAAATCCATGTTTAACTCAATAGCCCTAAAAAGTGGACATATTCAGTTTCTGCATTGACCTATTCAATTATTATAAATGTTTTTTCCTGTGTGGATGTTTGGGCAACATTGCTTTGGTTTGTTGCGTTAACCACAATCCACACAACAAGGTCTGTTCTATCTCGTACTAAAAATACTAAAAATCACTGCAACACTGCACAGACAACAGTAGCACAAAATATTGGTCCTATATGGGGCGTGTCTATGCCCAATATTTTATCTGGGACCAATATTTATTTGCCCAACAGAACATGTTCTAATTACAGGAAAAAATAAACACATATTTATATACAAAATATATACATATTTTAAGTATAACATATTACGGATAATATTAAAAATAAAGTAAATTATAATTGCTTGATGCAGCACTAACTATACTATTAAAAGTATGGTAAAAAATATCACATGAGCTACAGTAAGCATTAAAGTATCTGCACATTCTTTGAACAGGTGAATTATAAATGGCATTTATTCTAGGTGTTGTATATGTAAAAGTCAATTGACTACGGCTATAAAAAAATGGAACACGCAAATTCACCGATTCAAGCAGTAATATTGAATCTATCTGGTTATGCAACAGTCCATACAAAAACTTCAAATGCATTATTATTATTTTTAACTTCAAAGGATGTAAAGAAAAGCTGGTCAGTTCCTGTGGCGGGATAGATACCATCAAGTCTAAATGAAGCAAATTTCAAAAATTTTATTTGTATCCTTTCAAGCTTGTTTTTATAAATATTGCATTGCGGACTTCAAAACAATAAAGCAGTATTCATGCTTAGATATATCTAAGCTGGATTACTGTATACAAGAAATACGTAATAAAGAGACTGATAATATCATATTATGTTCTAATATCTCTAAAACCCCCAGTATTGCGAATTATAAATCCCAAGCTTTTCATAGACCCGCGGAAGCAATGTTCTCAACATGATTAGAAAACGTGAATTTATTATCAAACATAACATCCAAATCACGAATGGTACAGCATTTCTCCAAAACAGCCGAGTCAAGCCTATAATCAAATTCAAAACTTAAATTTTCAAGGTGTAAGCCATAACCTTACATTTAGGTATATTAAGTTTTAGCTTATTGATTTTGCACCAATTTACGATATGATCAAGGTCAGCTTGAAGCGATACACAGTCACTGATACCATCGATCCTGGAAAACACCTTCATCGGCAAATAGTAGTTTTTCACACTTGATGCCATCAGCCAAGTCATTAATAAATAGTAAAAATAGGAGTGGACCCAGGTTGGACCCTTAGGGTACTCCAGAAGTGGGAGAAAATTTTTCCGAACAAAATCCATTGTAGCTGACATATTGGTGACAGACATCAAGATATGAGTTAAACAATAATAACAGTGAATCAGACAGCCCAAATGAGTTTAATTTAGAAACAATTATTCCATGATCGAGGGTATCAAAGGCCTTGGAAAAATCTGTATAAATTGTATCGACTTGGCCTTTTTACAGTGATAAATAATTGATTAACAAGGGATAAATCTGATTATAAATGCATATTTCAAATACCTTAGAAAAGTTACATATTATTGATATTGGCCTATAATTTTCAATGTTAGCAGGATACTGGACAAATTTTGGCAATTTCCAACAAAATATCTACTAGACAATAATACACTGTTGCCATTCAACGGATTCCATTTTTTTGAATTTATTTAGCCGATGTTGGCCCTATATTGGCATAAAATGAAAATGTAATATATCTTTGCCAATGTTTATACAAGGTTGGTCCTATATTGGCATATCATTTTACGCCAATGTATCATTAAAAATATATATTTAAGGTTGGCACTATATTGGCGTGAAATGATTATCCAATATATCATTGCCAATGTTTGTCCAAGGTTGCCCTATATTGGCATAAAATGATAATTCAATACATTATTACCAATATGTTTCTACAAGGTTTGCGTTAGAGTAAAATTGTTATATTATGCAACATGGCAACATATCTCCAAGGTTGGTCCAACTGTTGGACCAACCTTGGAGATATGGACTCCAACATTACATATCGTATTTAAATTTTTATTTTGAGTTTAGAACAATTTTAAAGCCTAAGTTTATAAACCGAAAGCAATATTGGTATAGTATCGTATACATCGTTGACTATAGACTAAAAGTGATATGTAAAGACACACGTTTGTTTCCAGAAACGCTTTTAAGTTGGGGGTGTTGCAACCGACTACCATCGCTATTGTTTAGTACTAAATGGGTGAAAATAATAAAGGCATATTACCGTAGGAGTGACAAGGGTAATATGTGATTTCTTGTCTTATTAGCAATAAAATTCGCTATAACGTTAATAAAGCACACGATACAAACGTTTTTACCATTTCATCGTAATTAAGAATAACATAGACGGTACACGACTTCGTGCCTTATTGGTAGATTTTTTTAATTGGAGGGTACATTTTAATTCATGTAACCCCCCTCTCCCCCTTATCATTTGGGTGAGCATTGTCACCCGGACCCCCCCGCTTCTACGCCCCTGAAAACAAACGTGCGTCGACACGATCGTGACATATTACTTTTAGAAATCCTACTAAGTAGTAAGTACTAGGTGGCTATCTTTTTTCTTGTAATTTTTTCCTCATCTTTAGTAGAATATAATGTAAAAAAAACTTCGGGCCAATGCGGATTTCCAATATCGGTTATATAATGGCAAACAACTTCGGGCCAATGTTGGGTTTCAATATTGGACAATGCTAGAAAAAATCTGACGAAAGATAATATCTTTCGTCAGATTTTTTCTAGCATTGTCCAATATTGAAACCCAACATATTATGTTGGCCCTATCATCAAACGAATATTGGGCCTATATCTTTGTGCTACTGGTGGAGTTTAACGGCGACCATTTTTGTTGTTTACAATTCTTGTGCTTTATATAAAGCACAAGAATTGTAAACATCAAAAGTAGTCGCCGTTAAACATATGTTTGTACCTACAGATTAATCATAGTTTTAAATGTTGGGTTTCTTACAGAGGCACTTGTAAGCCTTAAAAGAGGCCTAAGAAAAATAAACCTTATCCTATAAGGGTTGTCATCAAACTGTCAAATGTCAATTTTAAGGTTAGTTTGTGGGTTATGGTCAAAGATAATAATTATAATAATTAAGATAGATAGAATAGGGTTTATTTTTTATAAAAAAGGAGTAAAAGCACTTTAAGGCCTTTTTTATGGCTTACAAGTGCCTCTGTAAGAAACACAACGTTTAAAACGATTATTAATCTGTACAAACCCAAAGCACGAGAATTGTAAACAACAAAAATGGCCGTCGTTAAACTCTGTGCAGTGTTGCAGTGATTTTTAGTATTTTTAGTACGAGATAGAATAGACCTTGTTGTGTGGATTGTGAGGTTAGATAGCTTCAGTTATCGATTTTTTTTCAGACCAGTAGTATTTATGTGAAAATTGTAAACATTTCAATTCAGTAAAAAACATAAAACAAATAAGT